TGGATAACCTGTACTACTTACCGTGGAAAGGAATAAATGTCCTAATATTGTTCTCATAAAATAAATATATATTGGGACAGAATGTATTATAATACATTCACTGACACTGTTGCAAACTGAAAATTTTTAATGCTGCTCACCAAAGATATCCCCACTTCCGTTTCTTTCTGCCTTTTTTCTTTTTTGTAGAGAGGGATATGTTTCATGCAGGAATGTAATAAGGATAAACTGTAAAGACAATTCAGTAATTACCCATAACAATATTTTTCCACTAATGCAGTTGGAATTACTGAAGTGTCGGTTTTCACTCTTGTTCTTTACATACAGTAAAATTCACAGTTCAGATGCCCTTAATGATTATTGGCTTCTGCCCAAATATTTTGATTAAATTATTTCAGAACATCAGACTGTATATGACATGAGTAAATATCCAAGTCAAGTTATATCATGAAAAAGTCATGAGTAACGTGATGATCTAATGAAGAAAACTTGAGATATTTTATATTGTTATTACCTTATTTTTCCACTTAGATTAAATATTGACTTGGCCTCAAAGCTGAAGCAGATTCCGTAGTTTTGTGGAATATAATTACAATAATTGGTTTATAATTGCAGTAACTTTCTCATAATTTATAATTCATTTCCACATTCAGTGTTGTAACGACCAGTTTTTCAAATATATTTCTTTATAAGTCATGAGTCATTCTTAATACAATCAGACTTTAAAGCCCATTAAAAGATTTTTTTTTAAAAAAATGTTCTATTTCAGTTAAAAGAGGGAACTCTGTATACAATTCCCAATTTGTAGTAATGTTTCTTTAAATAATAATAAATAAAATTAACTGAAAAGCTCATTTAATGCATATTTTTTCATTCCTAAATTAATTTATCCTTGTTATACAAAATAACAGCACATGAAGTATTTTTACACACTTCTGAGGATGTGTGCAGGTATGACTACATTTGCATATTAAATCTTGAATAAGGAATTTGTTGTATATGAATCTTGAGGACAACTTCAAGTTTCTGCATTTCAAAAGGATTTAACCATAGTTGTTAATCATGAAACATTAGATGTATTTTCAATATTAAGTTATGCTATTGGTAGATGATTTTTTTAAAAAAAACCTGTTCCTAGCTAAAATAAGTCTGTTCTTAATAGACTAAAATATGTGTCAGTTTTTAAGAGGCAGTTTAATTTTCATGTCAGTGCACTGAAATTTAAAATGCAAGTGCAATTTCAGGAGGGGGGAAATATCATAAAATGTAATTTGATTGTCTCCATTATTTTTATATGCCCATGATAAACTTGAGACCAAACTGTCTGGGAGAAGCAGTTATAAAATTCTATATTTAACATAGGAATTTTAATTCATTTTAAAATAATTCATTTTAAAACTCCAGTACATACTATCTTCTAATAGTGATGCCCTAATATTTCTGTATAAAATGTTGGTAAGCACATACATATATCCTATTTTATCCTTAGAGCATTATTGGAAAAAGTCATTTCCTACCGAATATCATAATTGAATAAGATTTAAACTGAAATTTCTTTTATCACATCTAGTTTTATACATCATTTTGATTCTCCTATATTGTTCTTTGGGACTTAAATATGCTTACTAGTGCTAACATATAGGTTTTAGATTGTGTGGTCAACAAGAACTGAAATGATATTCAATATAAAAACAATGTAAAACTTTTATATACATGAAGATTCTATCCTAACCATCTAATACACCCTTTACTTTTGCATTTAAAATTAGTACAAAACCTCATGCTTCAACTATAATTTGAACTCCCAAACATACCAGCAGACCATGTTTGGACAGCTTGTTTGTTGTAACATTGTCATAGATGCCTAGCACTTGAGTATCCATGCCAGTCTTTCTAAAGATGACTAGTATCTTTACATGTGGAAAAAGTAGGCCATAACTGTGACTTGTCAGTCAGATATTATCATATTAGCAGAAAGAACACATGAAATAATAAATTTCTTATTTTTTCAATATAAAAGATGCCAGGCCAAAACAGCTTTTTAAGAATAAGCTACTTCAAGAACACTGATTTGAATTGTTGCCATAATAACTCTTAAACAGGTAAATTGATTAGGAGGATAGACTGAAGTCCACAATAGTTACAGTGATAGTTTTCCTATTTTCTGATTATTGAACATAAAAGGAGACATGCTTGTGAGACAGAAAGACGCACTCAAATAATTACAAACATTACACCACATAAAATATGTGAGGATGTTTTGAATTGCAAAGTGATACACTCCCGACCAAGTGGATTTGTCTTAAACTTTTGGTTTTTGTTTTCCTTTAAAAAAGCCTTGCTTTTGTAAAGTTTGAATTAAAAACTTGCAGTAGCATGCAATAAAGGGTTTGCAAAAACATTTTGCTCTAAATTCTCATAGGTAGTACTATTTTGATTAACACTGTGTTAGAATGACTGGAAACTATTTTTTTCATATGTGTTAATTAGATTGCAGCTATGAGCAAGCATCACATTTGTAGATAGAGCTAGTTCTTAAATTTTACGGGATGAATATATAAGAAATATTGTTCATTATTATTTTGTATATTCTATACTTTGATGACACATAATTTTAATGTGAAGTTCCATTGATGTAGATTAATATTTAAAATAATTTCCTATTCATTTTAGAGACTCATGAATATGAATTAACAAAACAAAAATAAAATCACAAATACAAGCTAAGCTTTTATCTTCTGCTGTTGTGTTTTTAAAGAATGCTGATTCTTCATTTGAAAGCCGGTATGACTAAAACGTGTAAACACCTGAAATTAAATATTTCAAAAAATATTTCCTAAGGCTGTAAGATTTAATCTTTAGGCGATCTCTTTGGAGCTATGGCTTTTCCCACTAATAAAATGCAGTTTAAGGTTGTACTTTCTATTTTATGAAATTAAGTTACCATGAGTATATTATTACAATAAGAACATTTTAAAAATTAAAAATTAAATTTATCTGTAATTGTCAGTACTGAATACTTGGCAATATATAAACAAGATTCATGTAATCAACACAATGATTAACATTAATAGCAAGTTTTCTCTAAACTGCAAAATGTTTTGGAGATGGTCTCTGAGATTATTTTTCATTTGCACAACAGAGAGTTCAAACTCCAGGTACAATAAAATTACAATTAAACCCTTAATTTTCTTCTCTTCCTATATTTTCATGTAAGTTATTTGTAGTTTTACTTCCACTAAACACAATCAAATTCCAAATATTTATTAAATTTTTTGCTAAGGTGTAACTTTTAGCTGATCTGAGTTGTAATATCAAAATATAATTCAGATAAAAAGCTGAGACACTTGCTGCTTAGAACTCTCTATTTGTTGTTGCTTGGGTTTTCTTAGTGATGTAAAAAAATTAAAATGCAAGAGAGAAAAGAAAACCACTTGAAATACCAAGATTAAAGTGTTTATCTGTCATGAAAATATTTTATATTCTAAGAGGAACATTTAAAATGAGCAGGATTTTTCTTGAATATTCTTTCTAAATGTAAAAATGAAATTAATTAATTGCTCCTTTAATGTGAAAGAAACTGACGTTTGCACAAACTGAAGTGGATTTTCTCACACTTCTGTGTGTAAAGTACAAAATGATTTATATCTATCATTTTGCTGTGTGTAACTGATTTGCTCCTGTCATTTTATCTGTAAGCTAACAAAAAACAGTTATGCTTCAGTAATGTCCAGAGCATCAAATTGAATCTGTATAATTATGGTACACTGAAGCTGCACACAGCTTTCAAAGCATACAAGTGCTTTTATATATTACAGTACTCTTAAAGTGAAGCCTTACAGTCTCATCAAATGTTGATTTTTAAAGTTTGTCTTCAGCTATTAATATGATCAGGTGTGAATTAGAATTCTGTTCATTAGATATGCTTGTTATTCAGCACAAGAGAGTAATGCGAGTCAGAGGAAGTAGCTGCCTACAACAGTAATTAAACATGTGTAACCAATTAGTGGGTTTTCCACTATGGCACAAGCATATAATTTGCCGAGTCTTTCTATGAGAACAGAAGAAAAAAGGTACTAAAAGTGTGTCTTGACTACAACATTCTCATGTTAAACATGTCAATGTAAATGAACTTTAAATATATAATTTCTAGTTTGTTAACAAATCACTGAACTCTATTGGCTAACAACAGTAACATGTAATTTTAGCACTTCTTGCCAAAAAGAAAAGATATTAATTTGATTTATATAACATTTTACATACTTTTAACAATTATGTAATATTTGCTTTTTGGAATGTATAGGTAAAGTACAAAAACAAGAGAGGTGAAAGTAGTTTAGTTTTTTTTAAAAAGGACTTTCTGTATATCAGACGTGTACATATACATCTTTTAAAATTAAATAAATTGTTGATTTAACAAGTTATGTGGAGTTATACTGTGCCTATGGTGTCTCTGTGCAGTATAAAGATAATAAATCTAAGTAGCACAAAGACCCCACTTGAGTAACAGAAGCTCAGTTTGTCGTGTCAGGTGCTGATTTGAGTTTGAAAGGTTACAGATTAGTTTAGCAATGTTAAGTGAACTGGCAAAGGTATCTCTAATTTTGCTGGAAATGAGGAAGCGTGGTGGCGAAGGAGAATCCTAATGAGTCCATCGAAAGCTTGCTTTGTACCCAACAGACAAGGTAGCTGTGAATTGTATGAAAATATTGGAAATCAATTGCTTCTATGGAATTTCATTAAGAAGCAGTATCCACAATTGATAGGGCCTCATAATTTGATGGATTGCACTAAGAAAATGATTAGCTAGGTAGAAAGAGTCATAGAATACACACACTGAGGGACCTCAGAAATGTTGAAGTGGTGTAATTTGTACAAAATAAAAAAATATTGATTCTTACTCATGTGCAAAATTCTAAAATGCAGGGAGGGTTCTTTTGCAAGTCATTGGCTGATACAATCTTCTGATTTCCCTCCCCCCCCCCACTGCCTCCCCACAGTGCCAGGAGAAGGAGCAGATGATGGTGATAGTGGGAATGAAAGCCGGAGTGGAAGCGAGGAAACAAATGTTTGTGAAAAATGTTGTGCAGAATTCTTTAAGTGGAGTGATTTCCTGGAACACAAGAAGAACTGCACTAAAAATCCACTGGTGCTCATTGTGAATGAAGATGAAGCCACCCCAGCTCCTGAAGAATTTGCAGAGCCTTCTCCTGCAAGCTCACCTAGCGATCAAGCGGACAGCGAGGCTTGTGAAGAAAGCGTTCAAGCTGAGAACAATGAGATCTGTGAGATAAAGAATACAGAAAAGGAAGAAGAACCCATGGAGGTAGAACCTTCTATAGAAAAAAGCTACTCCAATCCAGGCACCTCTAGTACAGCTACGCCACTACCTCAAATTAGCGAGCCACCTTCTTTGACAGGTTATAACATGCCAAACACTAATGTAACCTTAGAGACATTGTTGAGCACTAAAGTGGCAGTTGCACAATTCTCGCAGAGTACAAGATGTGCAGCTAACGCAACCGCAGCGAGTGGGGTTACAGCAATGGCCATCCCAATGATTCTTGAGCAGCTGATGGCGTTGCAACAGCAGCAGATTCACCAGTTGCAGCTGATCGAACAGATCCGGAGTCAGGTGGCCATGATGAACCGACAGCCATTACGTCCTACTTTAAACACGACTCCTTCCCAAAGCACTCCTGTGCAAGCCACTAACCAGCTCCAGGGATTTGCCGCAAACTCTGCTCTTCAGTTAGCAGCAGTTGTTCCTTCTGCCATAGTGGCCCAAGCCACTGGCAATCCACCAACTGCCTTTGAGAGTACTCAGCACATATCAAGGCCCACGTCAGGTGCAAGCACTCCTAACATGTCAAGCAATGGTTCTTCTGTCCCAAATGAAACAAGCACACCATCTTCGTCTAATGCAATTACTTCTTCTTCATTAACACCGGTTTCTGTGTCAAATATTACTAGCAGCTCTTCACAGCCCCCAAACCCTTCAACTCCACCTTCAGTAGGACCTGGAAATCTCCTCGCCTCAACTTCCAGCCTGCCAAACCCACTTCTACCTCAGACTGCATCCAGTAGTGTAATTTTTCCCAACCCGCTGGTTAGCATAGCTGCAACAGCTAATGCATTGGATCCTCTCTCTGCTCTTATGAAGCATCGCAAAGGAAAGCCACCAAATGTATCCGTTTTTGAGCCTAAGACAAGTTCTGAGGACCCTTTTTTTAAACATAAATGTAGATTTTGTGCCAAGGTTTTTGGGAGTGATAGCGCTCTACAGATTCACCTGCGTTCGCACACAGGGGAAAGACCTTTTAAGTGTAACATTTGTGGCAATCGGTTTTCTACTAAAGGCAATCTAAAAGTTCATTTTCAGAGACATAAAGAAAAGTATCCACACATTCAGATGAATCCATATCCGGTTCCAGAATACCTCGACAATGTTCCCACTTGTTCCGGAATTCCATATGGGATGTCATTGCCACCAGAAAAACCAGTTACTACATGGCTGGATAGCAAGCCCGTTTTATCAACTGTCCCAACTTCAATTAGTCTGCAACTTCCCCCTACAATACCAGGCGTAAACAGTTACGGGGATTCCCCAAGTATTACTCCCATGAACAGATCACCCCAGAGAACATCCCCCGTGTCAAGTGAATGCACTTCTTTATCCCCAAGCCTAAACAATTCTGAGTCAGGCATTCCTTTGTCTGCAGAATCCCCACAACCAATTCATGGTAGTTCAACCATGACTAAAACTGAACCTGTTAATATTCCAGTAACAAATGCAAGGCTGGGAGATATTTCTATAAGTGGTCAGGTTTCTGTAGTACCCACCTCTACAGCTTCTAGTGCTGTTACTGAAAGCAGTATTTCTACAAGCCTCCCAAACACTGTGCTTCCAGCATTGTCTGACCAGTTCAAGGCTAAATTTCCATTCGGTGGTCTATTGGACTCTATGCAAACATCAGAAACCTCAAAACTGCAACAGCTAGTAGAAAACATTGATAAGAAGATGACAGATCCAAATCAGTGTGTCATTTGTCACCGTGTGCTCAGTTGTCAGAGTGCTCTCAAGATGCATTATAGAACTCATACAGGAGAAAGACCATTTAAATGCAAAATTTGTGGACGTGCATTTACTACAAAAGGCAATCTAAAAACACATTTTGGAGTTCATCGAGCGAAGCCACCACTTAGAGTACAGCATTCATGTCCCATTTGTCAGAAGAAATTTACAAATGCTGTTGTTCTTCAGCAGCATATTCGTATGCATATGGGTGGGCAAATTCCAAACACACCATTACCAGATGGCTTCCAAGATGCTATGGACTCAGAGCTTTCTTTTGATGAAAAGAATGCAGAGACACTGAGCAACTATGATGATGATATCGATGAAAATTCCATGGAGGAGGACATTGAATTAAAAGATAATATAAGAGACCCCTCCATGCCACTTCTACCTTATTCTGGATCGTGTCCATCTTCTCCCCCATCTGTAATTTCTAGCATTGCTGCTCTTGAGAATCAAATGAAAATGATCGATTCTGTCATGAACTGCCAACAGTTGACCAATTTAAAATCTTTAGAAAATGGGTCAGGGGAAAGTGACCACTTAAGCAATGATTCTTCATCAGCTGTTGGAGATCTGGAAAGTCAGAGTGCAGGGAGTCCTGCCATGTCAGAATCATCTTCATCCATGCAAGCGCTGTCTCCTGAAAATAGCAACTGTGAAAGTTTTAGATCTAAGTCACCAGGTTTCAGTAACCACGAGGAACCACAAGAAATACAATTAAAGAAAGAAAAATCTGACAGTCCCCCACCACCTGCTATTGAAAATGGAGGCGCATTGGATCTGACAGCCACCAACCCCGGGAGGCCAGTCATCAAAGAAGAAGGTCCTTTTAGCCTGCTGTTCCTGAACAGAGAACGTGGTAAGTTTAAAAGTACCATTTGTAATATCTGTGGCAAGCCTTTTGCTTGTAAGAGTGCATTGGAAATTCACTACCGCAGCCATACTAAAGAGCGTCCATTTGTATGTACAGTCTGCAATCGTGGGTGTTCCACTATGGGTAATTTAAAACAACACTTACTGACACACAAATTAAAAGAGCTGCCTTCTCAGTTATTTGAACCCAACTTTACTCTAGGTCCCAGCCAAAGTACTCCTAGCCTGGTCACCAGCACTGCGCCTACTATGATCAAAATGGAAGTGAATGGTCACAGCAAGCCGATCTCATTGGGCGAGGTTCCATCGCTTCCAGCTGGAATCCAGGTTCCTGCTGCACCACAGACAGTGATGAGTCCTAGCATCACCCCTATGCTGGCACCCCCACCACGTCGAACTCCAAAACAACACAACTGTCAGTCATGTGGGAAGACCTTCTCGTCAGCAAGTGCACTACAGATACATGAACGCACCCATACTGGTGAAAAGCCATTTGGATGCACTATCTGTGGTAGAGCTTTTACCACAAAAGGGAATCTTAAGGTAAGAAGGTAAACTTCATATTAAAAGAAATCCTGTAAAAATACATGAAGGGTTCACAGTGAACCTGATTGCTCAGCAGATGCTGGCTCCTCCTCCTCTTCGTCTTCCTTGAGTCCAAATCGGAGCAGGAGAAATGGATTGAATTCGGATGTTAGGCTAAAGTATTGTTTTGAATATAAATGATTTTTTGCAAGGTAGAGTTTCACTTGCTTTTCCTATCTTTCTTGTTAGTAACTGCAGTTTAGTATTTAGATTAATACTAAACTATGGTTTAGTATTAAATAGTATTTAATCTTGTTTGTGAATAATGGGAACAAGCCAATTTCATAAAGTTAATCTGAAGATCAATCCAGTTTGTCAGGCTCAAATGACAATTCAGGTGGAGGCTAATCAACGAGAGATGTGAACTCTTTTAAACCTCTTGAACCCACCTTGGAGGGTGGAGGGAGAGAAGAGATTTGCGAGATTGTGGTTCATTCTCATTTGTCCTCAAGCTAAAGTATGATTTGGCCTCATATCCAAACCCCACCATTCTAAATCAATGTAAAATCAAATACTCCATATATATCATCACACATCAAAAATAATTTTTTACTTATTCATTTATCATGTTTATATAGCTGCCTTTCTCAAAATCAAGTGAAAATTCTGTTTTCGTAGAGAAGGTATTCTATGTTTAAAGTGTGTTTCTTCTTCCTTTTTAAAAAAATAATGGTTTTTGAATTATTGGAATTATTGTTTTAATATTCAAAAATGTTTATAATTAAAAGAATCCCAAAAAAGATTCAATTCATGAAATAATTTTATATCCACATTTATGAACCAATTTTCATTCCATTTTCCTGCAAGTTTCAGATTGCAGCTTCTTTCACCATTGTGCCTTAGAGAAGCAGGGCTTTCAGTAGTATTTTCCAGATACTAAGATTACATAGAGGGATGTAATCCTTCAAAATTGGCAAATGCTCAGTGAGAAGCTTTCTTGATATTTGCAATGGTGTTTTATTTTTCTATTATTTAAGGGTAATACAATTTTTATACTTAAGAAATATGAAAAGTACACCTATAACATTTTATATCTTCACATAATCCAGGTAATTATAAAATTATGGGCAATCAAGGAAGAGCCCTTTAACTCATGTTGGCCCAAATCTAATATATAATTATATAAAATCTATTTATAAGTAGTACAAAATAAATGAGTTGTTGTAACAAATATATTTGAATGTTTTTTAGGATATTTGTTCCTGGGAATTTTAGATGAATCAAACCTAACAGTTTAGGTAGAAAAGGTCTATTAATGTAAATAGAAGGTACCGAGACTTGTTAGAGCAGTCTTCAGTTCCTCTAAAAGATACTCTGAAGGGTTCTTGAACATCTGGAACTATTTTTAGGAGAAAATGAAAACTTGCATGCGAGCTGAATCAGAAAATTCCTTCTGCTTGACTGACAGGAAGTTTACATTCAGACCATTACTGATAGAGAAAATATTTATTTGGAGAACAAGCAAAAATAGATAATCTTTGCTTAATCCTTTTTATTTTATAACTATTTGCCATGGGTCTTGTGTCATTGGGCAGGGACATCTGTGCGTAGTTGCTTTGCTGGAAACTTCATATAACAGAATTGCTCCCAAGTAAATATGAGTATAATTGAGTTACAAAAATTCACATATTAATTCTTAAAAGTTAATGAGATTTACTGGTGTAGGACATAAAAAGCTCCTTGAAATACAACGCAAGCCTGATAATCTTGAATAGTAATAATCTTGTGCATGAGAAAGTTAATGTTTAACATTACTTGACATTTTAAATTGTGAAATTAGAATGTCTTCTATTGCCAGTTTAAAAAGTATGCCTTGCATCTTTGTAAATCCTGTAAATCTTCCTGCTCGTTTGCCCATTTTTTTCCCTGTCTGTTCTTCCTCTAAAGGTTCACATGGGAACTCATATGTGGAATAATGCTCCTGCACGGCGTGGGCGTCGACTGTCCGTGGAAAATCCCATGGCTTTGTTAGGTGGGGATGCTTTGAAGTTTTCAGAAATGTTCCAGAAGGATTTAGCAGCTCGGGCAATGAATGTTGACCCAAATTTTTGGAACCAGTATGCTGCAGCTATTACTAATGGACTTGCGATGAAGAACAATGAAATTTCTGTCATACAGAATGGAGGCATACCCCAGCTCCCAGTAAGTTTAGGCGGAAGTGCCATTCCGTCTTTAAGTAACATTTCCAGTGGAATGGACAAAGCTCGTACTGGTAGTAGCCCTCCCATCATTGGTTTGGACAAAGCGAATTCTGAAACGGGAGCCAATCGTCCATTCACAAGGTTTATTGAGGATAATAAAGAGATTGGCATAAATTAAAAGCATTCAGTACAAATAACTGTTGGACCACTGCTCAGATACAACATTTGTTCTTTCATGTACAGTTTGGGAAATTAAACTTTAGTTTTGTGGCCTAATTGCCTAGATAACTCTTATGATTTATCAATAGCAGAAATACAATAACTTTGTGTCTGCTGAAAAGTTGTCTCGCAAGATTGCATGGTACTACTTCAAAGGGAGCTGACCATTAGTGAGAACTTATGAACCTTTTTTTTTAAATTTAAGGAAATGATAAATCATTGGATAATTCCATTAGGGACTGAAGGAGGCCAAATTGTTTCAAATTTTGTTTCAAAAAAAGCAAAGATGCCACCAGTTGAGTAAAAGTGGGGTTTCACAATGGCATTTCAGTCCAGTTCTATCTTTGCTGATTTTCTTCGACTCAACTAGAAACTTGAACTGTTTTTAGAATTCCTCTAACATTCAATAAGTGATTTAGTACCCTAATGCTGTCTAAGATTACAGTATTCTTGTCTGTAGTATTTATAATGTAAAGATAATGCGGGTAACAGACAATATACTAGCCCCATTCTTAAATGAAGCTTTTGTATGGCAAAATACACCTGGCTATGTGACTTTTTTTTAAAGCAAGTTTTGTTTTACTATAAATAAGTGGTTTATTTTGATGCAGGCAAAATTGTGAAGTTTTATTGGGAAAGATAGCATGCTTTCAATGTGCAAGTACCTGTCAGTAACAAACCATTTTAATTTAAATCTTTGTAGCTGCTATGTGGACAGTTGTTCTATTAAATGGAAAAAGTGTAGTGTGAACTTCAGTTCATAGTTGGAAAAACAAGTTACAGACAAACCTTATTACAATAGATTATTCACAACACTATAAGCAGTTGTGAATAAAACACTTCATGTTATCAAAGGCTGTACAATAAAAGGCAGTGTTTGTATAATGTGGTTGCAAACTCTTAATTTATACTATTGCACTTTTAGTATTTTATATTTAGGGAGGTTTGTCTATAATTTGAATCTGAACAAAGATGTAAACTATTTTATAAATAGTACTTTGGCTTGAGGAAAAATGGGAGAAGGGTTTGTTGTGTTTGTCTTTAAGGTCAAACAGTATGAAAGATCTGTGCTCCTTTTAATAAAAAAAAATCTGCTAAGAACTGTCAGATTCTTGGATATAATGGGCCCTGCCATTTCTTAGACCAAAATGATTCATTTAACTTTTTTGTAAGCCCACCCTCCAACAGACCTTTGATATGTTAATCTTAGGGCTGTGATATCAGTGCAAGTCTAAGAGAGGCTAAAGAAAACATTGTGTAGGCTTAATTTTGCTGTAATCGGTTCTGTCTCTTTCACTCCCACCCACAAACTCGATGCTGACTGCTTAATAGCACTGGTATGTAAAGCAAAACAGAAAACAAAAATTCTAAAAACTTGTACGCAAATTCCCAATCTCTCTGTTTTATTTAATATTCTAAGATTTACTACAAAGCACAATGTACTCTGAATACGCTAATATAATTTTCATGTGTTTAAAGCATTGTTTAAAATTGTGACTAAAGGGAATGTTTCCACTCTGAACTAGAGTGCTGGTGTGGTTGGGGCATAATCAAAACTTGAACAGTAAATGTTTTTGTGTACTACCTCATTTTTGTGCATTACAAGCATGGTGGAATCTGACAGTAGGATCCTCCGTTCAACAAAATTGTTCAAGGGACATTATGGGTAGCTGGGAAACAGCACACAATGTTTATGCCCCTGAAGAAAGAATCAGACAGTGAGGTCTTCTCAGTTGTGACTGGAAAAAAAAATAGGACAATCTCTTTCTTGTGCAACCACAACAAAACATTACTATAAGAGGATGGACTGTCTCTGCCATCATATCACTGAATGGAAAGTTTAAAAGACTTACTAGTGGTTTGTTACTATTTTGAAATGAACAATGAATTATTACAGCTCTGTTTTCTACAGCAATGATAGATAAAATATAAATATGGACATGTACATATTATTAAATATGTATGTGGGGTGTGTGTGTGAGTGTGCGCAGACATACCACACACCGATACACACACAGACATCTGTATATTAAAACACATTCTATTATCAATGATTGAGTAACATTTGTGTTTGGGGTGTTTCAAAATTGGAAAACAAAGAAAACTGAGGTGGCTTAGTGTTGCTGTTTTTTTCAGCAAATGAATGTTTTTATTTATCTGTGTCCATTTCTGGTGTGCTTTATTTTTTAGTGTTTGGTACCATGTAGTGTTATTTCTTCTCCCTAAAGGATGTGCATATCTTAAAAAGAGATGTAAAGTGTTGTAAATAAGATGGCTGATGAAGATACAGTAAGACTGACCCCACTTTGTATTCAGGGTTAGGTCCTTCCTCTCTGCATGGTGAAGAGAGACACTTATTTTTATACTGTGATACCATGTAGGGCTAGGAGCCTCCCTGAACCAGCTGGGAATTGTTACCTAGATCCAATATTTTTTATTATTAAATCTGTTGGCTCGACACATCTACTGATTGAAATGGATGTCTTAGTCTAGGTTACTATTTTTGTCACATGAAATTGAATAAAATGCAGGATGTAATATTATTTATGAATTGTGTTCCATGCTTATTCACTAATAGGTTGTGGTACAGGAGTGAGGCTGTTCACACAGCTCTGCGGTTAAAAGGCTCAATACCTTGTATTCACCTTCAGCACTTATTTTCACATATGCCTAATATTGAGAAGCTACTTCTTCAGTTAAAAAAAAAAACTCCTACAAATTTACCATATCAGCAATTGGGGGAGGGGGAGAGCTGTATCAAAAATGACAATGTTTTAAAACAGTTACTTGTAGTTGCTTACCTTGGAAGCAATCATTGTATTAAATTCAATTTCTGCAAACTGCAATGCATACTCTGCTCTGAACTAGTAATTTCATGATGCATCATTGAACTATTTTTGTGCAGTTTCTATGTCCCTTCAGAGATGCTGAAGGAAAAATGGCAAGAAAACTTGAAGGGTGTTGTGTAGAATCTTGAATATATTCCAGTGGGTAATTGAAACACAGCTTCATTATAAATAGAGATATAGTTTCTAGCAAGTGAATTGGCCATGTATCTGCTTGGATGCAAAGAAGTATTACTAAATAGATTAGTCATAGTAAATTTTCTTCAACTAACAGAGTAATTAATCAGCTGTAGTTTCATAGGCATCTGTTTGAAGCTATGATGTCAAAATGGCATAAGCAATGGGAAATGACAATATTACTGTACGTAACTGCATTGTGACGTCTGATGCAGGAACAAAAGTTATGTTGCTTACCTGGTAATGTTGGAAACATTTCTTTTTCTCCCACAGAAACCCATGTGTAGCAACTTTTAGAGCGTAGCACATACTCTGACAAAATATATATTTGTATCTAGAAAGCTTACCTTATAAGAAATATATATCTCATATAGATAGGGAAATGCCTGAAATGGCTTTATATTTGACACAAAAGTGTATGATCTGAGTACACTGTTAAATAACACTCTTTAACTTTCAAGATGAAAATGAATCCTTAGTGGGAATGTTATTGGCTAATAAAATTATACTATAACACAGCCTGCAGATGTTAATATTTTTAGACTAAAATGTTCTAAAACATGGGATTTCTCCCGCCTCATATTAAAAGGAATAGTCATTTTGTAGAACATGGAAAAAATAGAAATAACATTGAAAATGAATCTGCTTGTGTGAATGTTCACCACTCATCTCTATTCTACTCTCTTTATAATTCATATAATCTATATTAAATAACATTTTGGAAAAGTCAACATCAACCATATTTAAGGCTTTATTTCCTGATGTGAAACATTTCAGAATTTCCAGTCACTCTGATATTTGGCTGACCTGGAGAAGCTGAAATGTTCATTGTTGAACATCTTCTGTGAAAATAGTGCTATTGTAACCATCAAATTCCATATTAAGGAATCCATATTAAGTAGAAAAATGATGAATTAATAGATCATTGGGATATTTCATCCTACTTAGTGTACCTGCCAAAGATATGTATAATGTCTGTGGCATACTATCTATAGAAGTAAGGCTTTCCCACTTTTCATACTCTACAAGATATTTAAATAAAATTTCTATTAATATGTGACTCAACATGAAATAAAGTTGTTTGAAATTTTTTTAAAAAAAACTTTCACATATTCTGTTTTTGTCTTCAAATTATATGGAAAATAAAAGTAAACTTTTAAAAATTGGGATAGGAAGACAATGATTTACCAATGTGGAAAAAAGCAACTGTTGTCACAGAAAATAAGATAATGTTAATGACTGATAGACATGAATTGTCAATTTACATAAACATAGATAAACATCTATGAAATGATTAAAAGGAAATTACATAAAGCTATCTTACTGGATTTTCTGCAGTAAGGCAAAAGTATAAATTCTCCATAACTTGTCAGGTTAAATCCAGATAGACAAAACTTTTTGAGGTGAAATATTTTTCTTTGTTGGTAAAATAGGTTTATCTCATGAGCTTCATGTCTTCTTCCTACAAATGAATGTGAAGCCAAAGATGCAATCCTAATCCAATTTATGTGGAAATTGCTATGCAATCCTATAACAATTCTCTCAGAAGCAAGTTTCACTGACTTGAGTGGAATTTACATGGTAAGCACGTATAGGACTGAATTACATATCCCATTTGTATTTATGGTAGTGACACATCTTTGTTAGAATTCTTAGCTGTTATTAAGGAAATGAGCCTTAATTTTACAATGTATTTGTACTTACTTGTCAGGCCATTATTTTTGTGTTCATTTCTCAAACTCACACAAGTTTGAGATCTTTTCAAAAATATAAACAATTTATTAAAAAATATTTAGATGATTGGTTCTTATTACTAATTATAGTTTTATTGTAATCTGAATTTCAATGGTTCATACAAATTCATTTATCATTTCAAGGAATCATGACTCTGCAAAGTGTGAGACACACACACACCCAATTAAGAAATGGCTGGTATAACTCTGAGCTCATGTTCTATTTCATATGAGGGAATTTCCAAAATTACTATGATCGAGTATTATTACTGTAATATTCCCAATAACTTAGAGGTGCCATTCATTCCCAAGAACAAGTAAAAAATCATGAAAATGTTCCTGCTCAATGCAGGGAGAAAAATGATGCTGAAAAATTGGTATAAATCAGGTAATTTAAGTAGGAACAAATATATATGGTCCATGCTAATGTACACTAATAATCTAACAGACATATACACCTATGATTTGAAATATCTACTTGCCATGTTCATAGGTGTCTGTTAGAGTTGCTGCTTTTGTCAAAATGCTGAAAGCAATGGTATGCTGTATGCTCTTCTCCTTTGATATAACGTGTATAAAATAATTATTGCAACAGCCGCCTGTTTGAAGTTTACACTGCAAAATGTTATTTTCACATTGAAATTATCTTAAATTAAGCACACAAAATGATCAAAGATGGATGTGTTGTCTAGCTAGGAAAATCATATCGTTGCAGCATTAAAAGCTGTTCTGAACCAGTTGAGAGAAGCAAAGTTCTGGTCTAAATGCCCAGAATTACTTTTCCAGAACTTAACTTACACTGACCATTTCCTGTTTTACTCAATTCTATACTCTTGTAATCCTAGAACATGCATTCAGCCAGCAGCCCTTAATAGTAGGAAACTCAAGACAAACAAAAGTGCTTCAGAGGTAGAACATAATTCAACAATACAACTGACTACCACTATCATCCAACAAATTCAAAATGAATTGTGCAATATATTACAGGTAGTTCTTTACTTATGACCACAATGGAGCCCAAACTTTCTGTTGCTAAGTGAGACATTTGTTAAGTGAGGTTTGCCCCATTTTATGATCTTTCTTGCCACAGTTGTTAAATGAATCACTGCAGGTGTTTAGTGAATCTGGATTCCCTATCAACTTTGCTTGTCAGAAGGTCGCAAAAGGGGATCAGATGACCCTGGGACACTGCAACCGTCATAAATATGAGCCAGTTGCCAAGCATCTGAATTGTGATCATGTGACTATGGCGATACTGTAATGGTTGTAAATGTGAAAAATGGTAATAAGTCACTTTTTAAAAGTAATGTAACATTGAACGGTCTCTAAATGAACTGTTGTGAGTCAAAGACTACCTGCACTGCACAAGTGCAAAAATTATGTAATTTATGTCATGGGAAATGTATTTTCATTTGCTCCCCTTCTCCCATATAATTGTTTATGTTCAGTAAATACTAATCATAATGAGGACTGCCGATGTTATAGAAGATAAGACTGTCACTGGCTATTAGTCATTATTGCCAAACAATACTTATATATGCTACTTAATATTATTAGAGATGGCATGATTCCTGATACCATTTATAACAAGCTTCAAAAAATTAATTGATCCAGAAAGGTACTGTTTTTAAAATGAATTTGAAGGACCTTAAGAGTTTAAGACTGCATAATATAATTTTCAAAATTATTTAGGGTATGTTAAAATAGATGCCCGTCTTATGTATCATAAGCCAACAATTAAGATTTTTCATAAAACTTATCATGTATGAAAAATTAATATGATACATTTACAGTTACTTTCTGAAGTAGATTTGTGAATGAGGTGCACAATACTGCCTCTCTCCAGAATTTTGGCAATAGTTTTCT